ACAAAAGAAGCAAGCTTTCAACGACAGAATTTGGGAAAATATAGAAAACGTTCAAAACTCATCAGCGTTTTGGAAAACGGTCAGGCGTTACGGCAAAACAAAAAACCAAAATTGTCCTATCCAAACAGAAACATGGTACCAGTTTCTTAAAGATCTGTATACTACCCGAAGAATAGAGATTACCCTGTATCCAAATATTACACACCCACATTTGGATGCCGCAATCAGTTTGTCAGAAATAGAATGGAGCATTAATCATCTTAAACTCAATAAAAGTCCTGGGCCAGATGGCATCCCCAATGAATACTATAAATCTCTCCCGAGTTCGTGGATTCACTACTTGCAAACACTATTTAATAGGGTACTACAAACAGAAGATGTTCCTCAAAGCTGGGCAAACGTGAAAATGCAAATGGTGTTCAAAAAGGGCGACAGAATGAATCCGCATAATTATCGGAGCATAGCTCTACTGAATAGCATCACAAAACTATTTACAAACATAATTTATAATCGGTTATATAAATGGTGTGAAGAAAATAATGTGCTACCAGATGAACAAGCGGGCTTCAGAAAGGGCCGCGGGTGTAGTGAAAACATATTTATTTTAAATGCAGCCGTTTCAATCAATACAGCTCCAAAATCGTCCTACCTTTATGCAATATTTGTAGACTTTCAGAAAGCGTTTGACACAATAAATCATAGTAAACTATGGAATAAGCTACATGCCATTGGAATAAGCTCAAAGATCATCAGAACAGTAAAAGCCATATACGAGAAGACAAAAATCACTATAAATAATAATCTTGAAAGCACCGAAGCTATAGACATGACTACAGGAGTTATGCAAGGCGACTGTCTCTCACCTCTACTGTTTGCGATATATATATCGGATATAATTTCTTACTATCAGAAGAACCATTGTGATGGTGTCAAATTAACACATATTAGATCACTGATCATGCTCCTTTATGCAGACGACGCGGTTATTTTCGCAAACAATGTGTTCGACGCCAACAGAAAATTGAACATCCTAAATAACTATTGCGAGGAGAATAAGCTTACCATAAATATTAATAAAACCAAGGTTATGGCTTTCCATAGAGGCAGGAAGAAAAAAACTCTGGGAGTATTTGTGTTCAACAATTCTACTTTGGAAATTGTAGAAGAATATACTTACCTAGGTATAACTTTCTCATCATCCGGTGTCTTCAAGAAAGCTTGCGAAAGTTTCATTGAAAAATCTTCCAGGGCAATAGCAAGGGTCAAAAGCACTTTAATAAAAGTAAAATCGGAATGCCTTGAAACAAAAACTAGGTTATTTAAAGCCATTGTGTCCTCAGTACTACTTTACGGTGCAGAGATATGGTCGCTGAGATATTTAGAGATGGTGGAGAGAGTTCAAGTAAAATATTATAAACAAATATTTCATTGGCCAAGCAACACCCCCAACTACATGGTGAGAATGGAAACCGGACAGATACATCTAAAAATACAAATTATTAAAAATACTCTCAACCTGTGGGAAAAAATCTTAAGACTACCCGAACATAGACTGTTAAAGCATTCTTACCATGGCTTACTTAATCTAGATAGAAGTTCTCATAACAATCCAACAATGAACTGGGTAACTCAAGTGAAGGAAATTCTATTAGAAATTGGAGAACACTCACTGGTAAATAATATACTTTGCGTCAGAGACATCACACTACAAAAAGCAAAAGACGACATACTAGAAAAGGTAACAAACCAAGAATTGAGTAGGGACGTGGAGTCGGCCATTACATCAAAATATTCCCCCATCTACCGTAATATTAGCAGTTTAACTAATATGGAAGTGTATATGACGTTTAAGCTCCCAATAAATAAAGTGCGATTAGTCAGTCAACTAAGAATTTCAGGCCTAAAAGAAATTCGGTTCTATATAAATAGATGTTCGTATGTGATTAATACTGAGTGCTTGTGTACCGTGTGCAATCTGAAAGAAAACGAAACACTTGAACATTTCCTGCTGACGTGCCCCATATACACCGTGTTGCGCACCCAGTATCTACATAGACTTGAACCTCCGCTTACCGTTGAATCTGTTCTCACAGTAAACAATGCACAGCAACTGAGTGATCTCTATTATTATATTTTTGGCGCCCTTAAAATAAGAGCTTTTATTTTTAACGAATGACTTTCCTTTTTTTTCTGTGAAGTAAGAATTTCCTAAATAATCATTTGCTTATCTTTCATTGCTGCTGTCAATATTATATTAAATTGGAAAATTGTTTTATTTGCATTTGTAATTTTTTGTTAAGAAACCACAATTTGTAAAAGTATTTACTTAAACAAATAAACATTATTATTATTATTATTATTATTACTCCATGAAGAATTTGAAAGATATACTGCGTCCTTTGAACCAGATTTACTATAGGATCGGATAGCAGGGATCAGATTGTATGGGTTAAAGCAATGGAGTCTAGCACCCGCATAAGATGTAAGGATGCTTAGCTTCGCCACGAAATTGTGACTACTAAGCCCCACCACCACGACAAGGTGCATCCAATGGTGGGGATTTTTTATTTTTTTTATTTTGCCTTTATTTTTGAGTGGGCGCGGTTTCAGCCAAGGCTGCTCTACCAACCCAACCCACTATACATTTACAAATATCCATGCCCGAACCCGGATTCGAACCAGGGACCAGGGTCGGACTGGCACGGGGGGGCGGGTGGCGATTGCCACCTAGCCTGTAGATCATAATGGCCCGTTGGAAATTTATAAGTATGTGCTGTATTTAGTTTCTTGCACTATTAATAAATTATTAACACGTTTCTCTAATTGGGGTTGATGTTAGGTTGTTAAAAAATTCTGTTTTAATTGAAGTGTTTTACAATGAATTTATCATTTTTTGTCGTAGTATTTTGAAAGTGCTGAAATACAATGATAGGCGACGCACCTCGTGTGGATTGTATATTTTGTTACTTTTAATTATCAGCTGCAATTAAAAAAAACTGTATGGTAATTGAATTTCGAAAAAGGAGTACCTTAAAATGTTTTTGTGGTGCACCTCAGAGCTAACCCCCCCCCCTCCACCCGCCACCTTCATTGCTACACTCATACTTTAATGGCCCGTAAGTACCCAGTCCGCCCCGTGTATAACCTTCCTTTTTTACCAAAATTCGACTACACCAAAATTTCTCGGGAAAACACTTTTTCTTATTAATTTGGGTTGGGTGCGTAGAATCCAAATCAATTCGTACTTTTTCGATCAGACTTCTCAATCAAAAGTTATAGACTAGAAACCAATTTCGAAAGAAAATTCAAAGGGCTGTAACTTTTGAACTAGTAGCCCAATCTTGGAACTGTTTGAAATTATGGATTCTACAGGCCACATTCTATAAGAAAAATTTTTTTCCGGGTCGATCTGAGACAATTTTTATTTCGGGGTTCAAAAAAAGGCAGTGTATAACCTTCCTTTTTTACCAAAAATTGACTGCACCAAAATTTCTCGGGAAAACACTTTTTCTTATTAATTTGGGTGCGTAGAATCCAAATCAATTCGTACTTTTTCGATCAGACTTCTCAATCAAAAGTTATAGACTAGAACCCAATTTCGAAAAAAAATTCAAAGGGCTGTAACTTTTGAACTAGTAGCCCAATCTTGGAACTGTTTGAAATTATGGATTCTACAGGTCACATTCTATAAGAAATTTTTTTCCGGGTCGATCTGAGACAATTTTTTTTCGGGCCTCAAAAAAAGGCAGTGTATAACCTTCCTTTTTTACCAAAAATCGACTGCACCAAAATTTCTCGGGAAAACACTTTTTCTTATTAATTTTGGTGCGTAGAATCCAAAACAATTCGTACTTTTTCGATCAGACTTCTCAATCAAAAGTTATAGACTAGAAACCATTTCGAAAAAAAAATTCAAAGGGCTGTAACTTTTGAACTAGTAGCCCAATCTTGGAACTGTTTGAAATTATGGATTCTACAGGCCACATTCTATAAGAAAATTTTTTTTCCGGGTCGATCTGAGAATGTTTTTTTCGGGGCTCAAAAAAAGGCAGTGTATAACCAGGGGCGCACTGGCCCGGGGGGGCGGGTGGCGATTGCCACCTGGCCTGTAGATCATAATGCCCCGTTGGAAATTTATAAGTATGTGCTGTATTTAGTTTCTTACACTATTAATAAATTATTAAGACGTTTCTCTAATTGGGGTTGATGTTAGGTTGTTAAAAAATTCTGTTTTAATTGAAGTGTCAAACCAAGTGACGGCCTGTTGCAGTGGTATCTTGGGATCAGTCTCATACAAATAAATACATCAAAGCAAAGATCATTGATCAAATTAATACGCCACACGCCATCTGCCGAACGCTTCGGAATCGCACCTTTAACCCGTAAAGTAGCACTTATAAATTTACATACATTCCTCTACTCATGCGCCACCTGTGACGAGATTCGAGACCTGTGTATAAGACCATGACCAAAATCAAAATTACAAAAACATTTTAAATTTTTGTCCAAGATAAGAGTTGGGTGTAGCTAACAACTCATGCATATTTTCAGTTCCCTTCATTTCAAACAATTTGTATTGCCGATCTAAATTTCACCGATTTTAAATTTTTGGTGGTGACTGGGAAGGAGTGGTAAGTTTTCCGACAGGTTTTTATTGATAAATTAAATTAAGACATTCAATAAAATTTTATTGAACATAAAAATAAATAATTTCACTAGAATGCGAATTTTTATGTCTAAAATACATTATTAACACTTACTTGATTTGAATATGTTCAAGCAAAAATAGTTAGAAATTACAATGCAATAGCAAATATAGGAAAAATACTTGAAAACAATTTAAGTATTACGATGAAAAACATTGTAAATGATATATACATGGTAAAAAATTAATTTCTCCCTTAAATAATTATTTTGTTTATGAAAATATTGAAAGGTGTATTGTTAAGTACTAATCCCATACATAAATATGAGCATCCCTTATACTATATTTATATCTCTCTCCATATATGAACGATTAACACGTACTTACTTAAACTCTTTGAGATCCAATTTTGAAAACATTTTAAAAATCCCCACGAAGGTAAATTTTGTTAACTAGAAATATAGTTTTCTGACAATTTGTAACTTACATTAACAATATATACTATGACACCCTGGTTCAATATAATACCTACAAACAATAATCTTCCATATTCACATCTATCAATTTAAGGTATTGTTAGTGTAATATAAACCAATTGTACACAGTAAAGAAGGTTGTGTTTTAACACAAAAAACGTGAACGTTTATCAAAGTAACATTATATTGGAATGAATTACAGGAAGGACACCCTTCTAAACTTCTAACAGTTGGTTATCCTAGAATCAAGGTGAGATCTACAACTGAATATACTTCACGTTTTACATTACTACACCACGAGTTTAGATTTGTAAAACACAAAGCATTAAAAGAAACCTGAAATTTAATTGGGATTTGGGCTGTTCAAAATCACAAATAGCCAGATATATTGTGAGGTGGCACAAAAACTACAAGATTCATGCAACGGAGGTTACATGGTCAACTTAAAAATATAAAATATGTTAACACGGGAGAAATAATCACATACTTCATTAATCACATTATATTACAATCATTATATCTAAACTTAATATTGCCCACCGCTAAAATAAATATTGCATCAAAAATAATACAACTCTTTAATTCTATAAAGCACAACCAACCTCTGGTTCATGGTCTTACTATTATTTTTGTGGAAGTTTACTACCACATTTATTATCCTTAGCACCTAAGGATTTGCCTTTGAGACATTCTGTATTTCCATCACTTCCTTTTGGATTAACGCAACTTTTATCATTCAGTTGCCCAGACTTATTACACTCTTGAGCGCTGTTTGTAGGTGAATCCTTCTCCTCTGCAATTCGTGGAAGGGGCTCACTGGTGCTAGATAAGTTCAGCGATAACCGATTTTCGGATGCACTATTACTACTGCTAACAATTTCGTTGCTCGACGGAACGGACGACTCAAGCTCTGCATCCTTGTCACGTTCCGGTTGCGAGGCAGATCTCCATACTGCGCTACTGCCGCCGCGAGTTTGCGTTTTAACTACCGGCGATTTACTAGATGAACATAAAGGAGATATGAGCGCGCATTTACTTTCTGCGCTGCGAGGATGGAGGCGATCAGGCGAGAGTGCTCTACGTAACAAAGGAGATCCTGGTTCGGCAGCCTTAGGTCTCACAAATCCTTTTTTTGCTTGGTTCGACGCCATTGTAATAGGTGTGTTGCCAGCACTGGGACTATACGATTGCGTTGTATTTGAGCTACCTGGTTGGTGACCTATCGGAAATGCTAGAGGACTTGGAGATCTAGTAGGGGACGCTGGCAGTGGTGAAGGCGAAGGTGTTCTTGCTAAAGGAGATAACGGAATGTGACCGACAGACTTACGTCGGTTTGGAACATTTGGACATGAAGGACTAGCCGAATGTAACGTTTTTGTGCAACCAGTCGAATGCAGTTTATGTTTTAGACCATGCAGAGTGGATGGACGTTGATAATGTTGTTTGTTGTTACGGTTGTTTGTAATTTGAGTGGGGCTGGGAGAAGCTGAGGACGAGCTTTGAGATGAGGAACTGGAAGAGTGTTGGCTAAAGGAATCTGATGGAGAAAGACTAGTACGATTCGAGACGGATGTGCGTATTGAAGTTTGGGAAAGAGAGGAACTGCTATCTGGATTTCTTGTGAACGACTGAAAGCTGCGGCTGGGAGTAACGCTCAATGGTGATTGGACACCAGCTGCCATCTGCACAATGAACAGTAGTACTAATAAAAGTGACAGATCTTTTACCTGTTGAATCTCTGCACTCGCTCTCTTGTTACTAATTCTTCGGAATAAAGATGTTTTCCTTCTTTTGTCATTTTCTCTTTTCTGCTTCCTCTGTCTATGCAAGCTCCTTCGTGCCAGCTTGCTCTGCCCCGGTTCCCTTTTGCGCCCTCCGCTTTGAATCGAAGTGTGTTCCAAAGGAGTGGCTCTTAAACTGACATGCTCGACGCCAGAAAGCAAGAGTTGCAACACTTGTGTGTGATACAAGCCTTGTACAGCTTCCCCATTTACGTGCGTTATTAAATCTGCAGGTCTTAAACCTGCTTCAAACGCGGGACTCCCTTCATCTACAGCCTGTGGAAGGTTACACAATTGCAATTCACAAACAAAAATGTTTTCCCCTTTCAATGCTAATGCCACAAGGTTTAAAGGAATAGTGTCTGTCCTATGAACGTGCAGCATATAAATGATGCGTTTCATGAAACCGACTCGTTCTTCCAAATTACCGAAGAGAGGGGAGAGGGGTTTCAGTAGCTAATCTTTTAAGTCCCATTGTTCACCATGATGGTATCCATGGAATGTCTCAGGAGATTAAAGATATTAAGAGGTGAAAAATCAGACCTAGGCACAAATTAATTAAAAGAGGAGAAATGGTATACACAAAATTATGACGTCAACAAAATGAAAATGTCATTATGCAAGCATGAATGACGAGAGCGTATTTTCCTCCTAATAATGTTAAGGCTGGTTCCGGGAAAAAATACCGTTACGCAAGAGATCCTTCCCCCATTCTCTTTCAAATGAACCGCGACCTATTATTGAAGTCTTTTAAGTTTCACACAAGTAGTTCTACATGTCAGTTTTTCATATAGTATAAATTAAAAGTATCAACAAATACATTGTCAATTGGAAAATAACATATTTTACAACATATATCAACTTTTGAAATACTTTTCTTAGAATTGGGATACTACCTAACTGTGAAGCGTATACAAATATAAAAATGTAATTTAAATGCATTGGTAAATAAGAAAGTTGGCACTGCGCATGCGCAAAACCAAATGTTGAAACTGGCGTTAGATTTGCTTTTATTCCAAGTGCCTATGTATCAAATTTCATTCAAGTGCTCTTTTTAATAAAAAACTTGACACTCCGTATGCGCAACACAATAAAAACGTCGTTAGTTTCACTTAAATTCGTAGTATTTATATATAAAGTGTCATTTAAGTATCTTCATAAATAAAAAAGTTAACATTGCACATGCATTAAACCAAATTTTTGACACTGCGCATGGGCAAAACCAAAAATATCGGTACGTACGGAATCTTTGCACCAAGCCCTTTCAAATGAGCCCCATATCGCCCAAATCGTTTCAGTCATGAAGAAGTAGTAGGTACGTGTGACTGACAGACGACAAAGTGCAGCCAATAGCGACTTTTCACTTTTGAGGAAAATTCGGTAAAAATTTGGACGGGAAGGGGAGATAGTAGGTCACGGGCTAGAATCGAAGGGTCGCTCTATACTGGGTGGCAGGATGAGACACAAGCTTAATGTGGACATGGGAAGCTCGCAGGTAAAGCTGTTAAGAGCCATTCAATACAACATCGTGGACCAGCTACCTCCTCCGGCTTTCGTGTCACGACCAAGGACATTGCACAAGGTAGAACGGCGCCGTCCTGGTACTGATTTACATCAGATCACCCATGCATCACCACGTCGTCCGTGGCCATGACTCACGGACCTGAGGATGTGGGAGGCCTTGGATTCAGTGCACAGACCAAAAGGATTCAACCTCATTAAAAAACCTAAGCCTAAGATGGAACAGGTTACGTCTACAGGATTGGTAGGTGAACCAGTATCTAGTAAGCGAATTCCAAACCGGGGGAACTCCCAGTTTTAAAAGCACCCATCCTGTCATATGCAGCTATGCACTAAGTGACCGACTTTTCTCCAATACTTGTGTGACTTGCATGAAAGAACTTGATACAATACCAGCGCCCCCCTAAGCTTACCAACCGTGGGACCTTGGCCTCACACAAGTCACAAAGTCCAGATGAGGCTGCAAGTATGCTTTTTCTTATTAATTTTGGTGCGTAGAATCCAAAACAATTCGTACTTTTTCGATCCGACTTCTCAATCAAAAGTTATAGACTAGAAACCAATTTCGAAAGAAATTTCAAAAGGCTGTAACTTTTGAACTAGTAGCCCAATCTTGGAACTGTTTGAAATTATGGATTCTACAGGCAACATTCTATAAGAAATTTTTTTTACGGGTCGATCTGAGGCAATTTTTTCTTCGGGCCTAAAAAAAAGGCAGTGTATACACTTCCTTTTTTACCAAAAATCGACTGCACCAAAATTTCTCGGGAAAACACTTTTTCTTATTAATTTTGGTGCGTAGAATCCAAAACAATTCGTACTTTTTCGATCAGACTTCTCAAAAAAAAGTTATAGACTTTCTCAGGTGCTATTTCTAGACTTCGAGAATCTTGTCTACTTGTCCAGGACTTCCTACGACCCCATTCCTCCTGACAGCTGCCTACTTTTGCCCAGGAATTCTGCACCTCCAAGCGCTGTTTAACTGTCGTCAGGTTCTCACTCGGATGACAACTTTGAAGAATCTATAAAAGCTGCCTTTTCCTGTTCCACCTTTAGGCAAAGAGTATTCTTTGCTTTAGGTGTGTAGTTTCCAAAAATTGTAGGTTTCCAACCACCTCCTTCAACTCCTAAGGGTCTGGTTGTTCTCGCACGAGGTGATTCGGAGTTTGGTCATTGGACTACAATTGCTCTACAGATTTTGCAAGACTCCGTCCATCTTGAAATGCCATTTAAGAAAAACTAAGTAATCGCATAAATTCAAATGTTATATGGCCAAAATTCAGCTGAAAGTTACGCTCCCCAAGATGAGCGCTGCTCCAAGGAAACAGAACCGTTGGCTGAAGCAACACGGTATAGAACCGGCTCAAGCCGTCCAGAAGCATGCACAGTCGAGACAACAAGGTAACTTGGACAAAGGGAAGAAAAGGACCTGGTCCGAACGATACTATATCCCAGGCTGCCACACAAGGAGACATGTCCAAGTGGGATGGGAGTACAGTGCCACAGGACCCGGTCAATCCCTGTTCACACAGGGTGGCGAAGTGCCTAGGGAGTCAGCATAGAAAACATCATAGGTGACAAAATCGCCTTTCTACAGGCAAACCTCCAACAAAGCAAGGCAGTCTCCGACCTGCTGTGTTAGAAGGCCACCACATCCAATGTGGCGATTGCGCTCATACAAGACCCATACATCTATGGTGAGTTAGTGAGAAGCCTAACCACAAACAATTGTAAATTAATCTACAATAATGGAAATGGAGTACAAATAAGCATTATACCACTAACCGAATTTATTTCCAGGAACCTGGCTGCAGTAAAAATCCCCAGTCACCTCCGGGGTAGGAGAGGAGCCATAGTGGCCTCGGCCTACTTTCCGGGGGAGGGGGGATACCCACAGGAGAAGTAGACTCTGGTGGAATACTGCAAGTGAAGGAACATCAACCTACTCATGAGCTGCGAGATGCCAATTCGCACAACGTAGCATGGGGCAGCACAGACTAGGTGTATTTCAAGTGAACTAATTTACCAAGCATATTTTTCCTTCTTGAAGCACATAATTAAACCTTGTGACCTCAGCATTTGAAAGGTTGGTGGCCTTACGTAATATCATATTTTTATTGTAAATTACCATAACTAAATGATGCATGGTATAGAAATCCGTGTCGCCATAATAGACTCGAATCGTATGAACTGTAAAACCGAATCCTTTCGGACCTCTTCGAATTATCACAGGCGGTTTGAGACTGGTAACAAGGGGTGAGAGTTCCCTGCACGGGGAGGTGTCTCGCGAACTCGCCGTACTCGAACCCCCTCCGCCTCCTGGCGAGTGAATGCCAGGAGTAGGAGTTTGGAAATCATCTAAAAGATGACTAGTTTAATTGCGCATCAACAAAACGAATATTTACCGTTTGCGGGTATCATTAAAGATAAACCTGATGCAGATGCGCTTTTCACAACAGACCGAGAACGATGTTTATTTGGTGGTGCCACTGGAGGTTGATTTCGACTAACGGGTGATAATTCGCGATTATTTTCAGATGAGGACGTGCCCGTTTCAATACTGCAAATACAAGTACAGAGTTTTGCAAAACCTCTTTACCCGATACAAACCTGCTGTGCTCATCTTCAACTGAAATTGAAAAGCGCGGTAAAATGTCACGCGCGTGGCCGCTTTTCCGTTTCCTCTGAATTTGCGGTGAGACATCGTCACTGTCAGTTTGAGATGACTCGGGTGTACTCACAGTTTTGTTAAGATCCAACGATATCTAAAAAAAAAGAATTCAAAAAAACAATACGGAAAGTTTATACAGGGTGTAACATCAGTATGTTAAACAAAATTAGTGGTACACTGTATTTTCACCCTGTTCACCTTTTTTCCTAAATTGTCAAACAGAGATGTATTTTAACATTGTATGTGGGTGACAGTGAAGATGTCTATGATATTGGACTTGCTTATGAACTGTCAAAGATTGGTTTCAGTAGTCAGGTTTTACAGCTTCTATTTTTTAATTTTGACTCACCTTTCTGTGATCCAGTGGTAAAATATCTGAATAATCTTTATCTGGCGTTAACAAACCACATCTCAACCGCATTCTGAAATCTGGAATTTCAGGAGTATCTGGAGTGGTGGCGACAGACGTTGTGATTCGTACAGCTTCAGACGATTGTTCTTGATCAATACTTGTACCCAAACGCGAACCTTGCACTTTACGATATTGTGGTGAACATGACGAAAACAAGCCAAATACTGGAGAATCGTCAGTATCATCTGTATCATCTCCCAAGTCGTGATTATAGCGATCAACGCGGGCTGAATTAAATTCATTGATACGAGATTTTGCAACATAAAATATACTTACTATCAAAGTAGCTGGTATCTTCGTCGTTTTCTAGCTGAGGGACGAATTCCGCTTTATGCCTCAAAAGGGAGTTCCAATCGACGGTTTTGAAATACACATGCTCTTTTACTTCGTGAGCGCCACCTGTACCCAATCTGTCGCGAGGAGAATGTTGTAACAACACAGTGATGAGATCTTTAGCTTCATCCTGTATTTGCCAATCATCAGAATCCGGCCATTCAATGTCGTCTAAAACATCCACTATAAGAGAGGTAAATGTAGGGGTGGTAATTACCATTTACTGTATGAGCAAACAATTCTTCAGGAGTCTCACCAAAAAATGGCACGCATCCAATGAGAAATTCGTACAAAATAATACCCATCGACCACCAGTCAACCGGTTTTCCGTATCCTTGCCTCAGTATCACTTCCGGAGCTATGTATTCCGGCGTGCCAAAGACCTGTTTGTCGGAAAATTGGCGCGTTTCACAATCAATATACCCCTCATATAAATTGGTCGCCACTGAAAACCACAGTAAGGCTTAGTTATACAAAATTGCATAATCTCACATGACATCAATCCCATTTTACTTAAACCAAAATCTGTTAACTTAATGTGACCTAAAGCGGTGATGAGCAAACTACAAAGAAAGTGTTAGCGACACACAAAGTTTCCGCAATTACATACTTATCAGGTTTTAGATCCCTGTGAACAATTCCGTAGCTGTGCAGATACTCCACAGCAAGAACTGTTTCGGCAAAGTAAAATCTGGCCATATCCGCTGGCAATGGACCAATATTCTTGATCAAACTGGCGCAATCCCCTCCTTCAACGTACTCCATAACCAAACACAGGTGCTTCTTCGTTTCTAAACTACAGTACATACTCACTACAAAAGGATTATCCGCAAAACTTAATATATCTCGTTCGGCAAAAGCCTGCTCAACTTGATTACGGAGCATTAAATTATTCTTATTAATTTTTTTCATAGCGAAACGCTGTCTCGTTTGCTTATGTTTTACTAAATATACAGCACCGTACGCCCCATTCGAAATTAACTTAAGAACTTCAAAATCTTGTTCGTTAGGGTTCGTTGCCCATTTTTTGCACGTCGAAGTCGTAGGTATACAAAGTTGCGATGTCGGATTAATGGACGGTAAATTACAGTCGCGCAGCTCTTGCTGCAATTCGGCAATTGGATCTCTGTTCAAACCCAACTTTTGTATTATATATTGAGGTAAGTCTGCTTTGATACCTTGCAAACATTTTACATGATCTTCGGCAGCTTCGAGAAAGTGATAAAATTCTTCAGGATCAAATTCAAGGCACTCCAATAGACGTGCTGGTCGAGATATTATTAACAGTAACTTTTTTATTACGCCCATTAGTTGGGCAGCTGCCTCTTCAGATTTTTCTTTCGTCTGTAATGATAATGATAATTTATTTTACTTATTTTTGACCTTTATTTTTAAATGGGCGGGGTTTCAGGCAAGGCTGCCCTATGAACGCAATAAACTATGCATTTACAAATATCCATGCCTGAACCCGGATTCGACCACAATAGTAAATAACAAGAACATGCTTATGAGCGTGAAAAATATATGAAACATTATTAAGGAATAACATAATATTGCCAAAAATAAAAATAAATTAGAGATGCTGACATTTAAATGTGAAATGGTGCTTAGCGACAATGGGGGGGGGGGTCAGTAAGGTGGTGGTGTTAAACTCTTCATGTTAACTGTTTACCAGATTCGTCAACTATTGTTGTAATATGCTGTCAGATCTAGGATATGTCAATAAAATAAATAAATGTTTTTCGTTCTCTTCTT